GACTCTACTCTCATTGGCTATAAAAGACAGCGCCGATTCCCTATTGGCGGAGCGAAATAAAACCCACCTCCTCACGTAAAAGTCCGACAGTACCGCAATCACATAAACTAGTGGAGTACGCCAGACTTGACAAACTTATGTGAAGGAGGAGAGGTGTATCTAGGACCTGTGCAGCAGTCTTGTTGAGTTTAGTTTGGCTTGGCTAGTCATATTAACATTGTTGTAGTGCATTATTTTACTGCAGTCCAAAATATGCACAGCAAACTATACTTATGCATTTTAAGTATTGCTTTTAAGTTTAACATCATGAAAGTGGTATTTCATGTCTAAGTTGACATTATGAGCTGAATTAAGTTAAATTTCAAATTAACAAATGCATAAACACCTAGGCTAATTAAAATAAAAATGCCACCCTATTTGTATTTATTTGTTTAACTTTTTTATTTGTAAAGGGACCATGTACAATATTAAACATAAAGGTTTCCATTTGATGCATTGTACCAGAGTGAGCTTAGAGCTAGTTTACATCTGCAGTCCCTCTTCTCCTCAACTTCCCCCAAAAAACAAACAAAAAAAATCTCGATCTTGAGATGTTCTTAATAGCTTATCCAAAATATCAAAGCCCCTTCTTACTCTTTTTGTTTCCTGGAAAATTAATTCAGGAAATTTAAATGAGGCATCTCCCAGCATTGCCTAACCCACCTTTTACCTTGCTAGATCTCTAATCAGCCAGAGTAACTGTCATGTGTGTGTGCATACAGTGTCTTTTAGAGGCTTAACACTGGTTTTCCAACGCTGTGTTGCAATAAATGGACAAAAAAAACCCTTTCATACAACAGATATATATTTTTATGTGATGACATAAGATAAGAGCTATACATTCAAACATTTCAGTTCTGATGTGTATAGATTGAACCCAGGTGGACTATTTACACATTTATGCCTTTTATTACCCATTGAAGAAAACAACATCAAAGCAGTACATTGTTGAATGCTTTGAAAAGGCTGAGAGTGAGAGGGAAAAAAATGATGTCCATCTGTAGCACAGCACAACACAATTTGGCCTCTCATCAGTGCTGAAAGCGAAGCACACATCAGAGTTACATCATCTATGGCTTTTCCAGTTCCTCATCATCAGTGGATCCCAAAAGTATCATCTCTGTTTTTAAATATTTATAACACGAGTATTTCTGGATCACCCAGCCAGTTTTTGCTTAATGAATCTATTACCAACAAGTCCAATTTCATATTTTATGCTTTATTCATGAGTAAAGTAAAAAAAATAAAAAGGGTCCACAGTGAACCTGAGGCTGTATGTGTTTTTGTGGTCGGTTTTTATTCTTGGACGTTCAGTCGCTGTAAGACAGTGAAAAAGTAGCCCGACCTCTCACAGTGAGCATTTTCAAATGACTGATCCAAAATTGGTTTGGAATAATAGAATTTGCTGCCCTGCTTTGTGCCCATGTCTTGCTCAGTGGTGGTAAAAGACACATCTTGTGTGTCATGCTGTCAGTCTCACAGTCTCATTTTCTGTAATAGCTGCTCCTCAGAGTAGCGGAATATAAAAAATGTTCCAGGTGAGCTTTAAATTGTTCATTAGTGACATAAAGAGTGAATGAAATGGCAGAAACAAGTGTCTTTCTCTTTGTTCCTTTGGTTGTTCCTCTCCATCTTCATTTGTTTAAATGAAATTTCTCACAGTACAGTGAAGGCCCTGAGGCATTGTGGGGAATATTTGAGTCGATTTGAAGGGAGATTGAGCGGCTATAGTCTTGAATGGTACTGAAGAGTTGGAAAGCTGTGTCCTCCTCGCTAATGAGGACACAGTGCAATGCAACAATGTAATTCATAGCTATGCATTGTGAATGTTTTTAATGCCATGAGGTCCAGTGTGATGCAAATCTTCTGTAAAGGATGCCTTACTATTACAATTTTAATGATAGCTTGAAGGCAAGTGGGTCACAGCTGCATCAAATAGTTATATTGCACAGCAGGGGTGAAGTAGAATATAAATATAAGAGTAGGATGAATACAGTATAGTATGTCAGATATAAGTTATTTAAACATACTAAATGACGACTTCAACACAAGTTCAAGGGCAAAGATAGATGGGAAGACTAATTGTCAATCAGTATATGTGGTGTATGCACTATAATAGTGAAGTAATTTAACTATAAATCAGCAATACAATGTTATACTGTATGTTCTGTGTAGTTTTTTATGTTTACACTCAAGTGTGCAATGATCATGTATCATGCAGCCCTAGTAGTCTGTTCTTTTTCATATGTTATACAATATGAGCCCAGAGCATTCATTTAATTTTGTAATTACATAAGGATACATTTTAAATATGGTGGCGGTCATGTGGACCAAACCTATTCATACACCGAAAACTGTTCCGCACAACCACAGTTGACAAATGAAGTATTATCATCACATCTGTGGCTGCTTTTATTTGCACACATTCATTACATTTTTGTCTGTGCAGAAACAGACCTTATTTTCTGCTTATATTTCTATACAGTGGTTTTGCATGTTCAACATTTCTTTTTACTTAAATATGTACAGTGTCCTATTCAACACCGATAGCATCTTGCTTATGATACAGACTAGTAAGAAATTCCACATGCCACTTTTAAGTACAATTTTGAGATACTATAACTTACCTTGAATCCCATGTTATGCTATCTCTACTACATTTCAGATGTAATCAAAGTTCAAATGAAGTTAGACAACATTGAAATTGGCAAAAATGTATATGAGGTTTTGCATGTATTAATATGATTTGTATTCTTGTAGCCCTATTTATTTGACACAATATGATGTCACCAATATGTTGCTTTAGAGGAAGAATGTGCAACTTTTTGTTCCACTAGATGTCGCCCCTGGGGCACCAGCGTTAAACCAAAACAAACTGCTATTTGGCGACACCTCCGTTACTCTGAAGCCTTCGCTCTCCTCCAGCGGCACACCTCCAACCCCTCTCATCACGTTCGCACGAAGGAGTAATCAATTACAACGCACCATTATTAAGCACCACTAAGTGCAAGCGTTGGATAAAACTGTCCTTCGCTCGAGCTGCAATTGCTTGTGGTCTGCATTGTTGTGTTAGCAGGCTAATGTTAGCACACCTTGGTAAACTCATAGCTTCATATTGCACATAAAGTGATACAGAATGATCCAAAGTGATCCAAAGAATCAATCCAAAGATACAATATATAATTATTGAACACTGAAAAGAGCAACTCTGTCTGTAAAACATGTATTAGGTAACACAGGTTCTCCTAAGCTCATAACTAAGTCAAGTTGTTCTCAAGGACATATGCTTGATGATTGCATCACTATTTTCTATCATCATGGTATATGTAAGAACAGTGGCAGGGCTGTCTCTGTGAAAAACAACCATGATGATCAAAACCAACATGGTGTGTCTGTTGTCCTTTGAGAAGGCTTTCAAAGGCAGATGTAAACCCTGATGCTGTGTAATGTGCATGATACAAATCTAAAACTCCTAACCCCATGTATATTCCATGCTATCTAAAATGTGCAAACAAGATTAGTTAAGATTATCCATCAAGATCTCCAGAAGTCTGCATTTAGCAAATGTATTCCATTTTCTATTTAGTGCTTCATTCATGTCTGAAATTACAGGATGGATCAATAAAAGCATTAAAGGAAAAGAGGCAGCGCTGATAGCAGGACAATTGTAGTTCATTACATGGTGGAAGTGTAAAAGATTGCGTTGCCATGGAAATGTTATCGTGTTAGGTGCTGACACAATTTAGAAACATGTACTTGGTTAAGAAATATTATGTAACCGCTCCCTCTCTCCCTCCTCCCCTGTCTCTCTTTCTCCCTGTCAGAGGCTGTTAGAGTGCAGATTATTGTTGATGTAATAAAAACCAGGCAGCCAGTGAATCGTAATGACAGATACATAAAATGCAGGATAGGAGGATGAAGATGTAGGTGGAGGAGGGTCTCTCAGTGTGTATGTGTGTGGGTGTGTTCCAATAACCTTGGTGACTCTGTTCCCAACCCATCTCTACTGCTGGGGCCGTCGCCCGTCCACCCTCCTGCGGGGTAAACGTCTCTACTTTGGACTCAGTGTGGTTCACTGAGTCCTCACTGAGAGAGACACAAAGAGATGGAAAAATATGAAGGGATGTGGTGTGGTGGGGAGGAGGAGGAGTGGGTTTCGACAACAAGAGAAGTGAGGGTGCTGGTTGAGCGGGGCAGAGGAGGCGGAGTGGGATGGTAGGTGAAGTGTAAAGAGAGCAAGAGGAGGAGGAGGAGGAGGAGGAGGAGGAAAAAAGAGAGGGTTGGATGATGGAGGAAGAGGAGAGGAGAGAGAAAAGTCCATGCAGAGCTCAGTCTTCTCCTGACTAAGAATAGCAGCTCTTCTGGTAACCCAGTGCCCCAGGACATGACCATTTGAATAAAAGCCTCTATCACTTCATGTAATGCCTGGTCTGTGTGTGCATGGAGGTGTGTGTGTCTGTGTGCCTGCATGTGTTAGCATGTGTGATTGGGTATTTGAAAGGAAGATACTCAGTGAAGTTCATCAGAATAAAAAGAGACACAAGAGGAAATGAGAGCGAGAGAGAGAGAGGGCTAATTGATGGTGATGGTAATAGGCTGGTGGAGCAAAGAGGCACAGACCAGACTTGATGTTTTATTGCAGCGAGCAAAAAACTCTGTCATGTGTGTCGAGCCCCCCTCCCCCCCTTTGTATCTCTTCCTGTCTGTGTCTCTGCCTGCTTCATGTGAATCTGCAAACCTTTATAAAGGAAGAATCTGGGTGAGATAGGAGCGTGAAATGAAAGCCATATTTCCATATGTCCGTGCCATATGTTGTATGAACTGTGTGTGGGATATTTAAAGGAGCCATAAAAACACATTTGACTTTTGGCACCACTGAGGAGTGATGGTGTTGATGTGTTTGCACTCAGAGTCACAAATATAGACTAGAGCTTTTTCTCTCTTTATATTTCCCTCATCAGCACTACTTCCTGATCGTGTTTGGCCACGATGGACAGAAGCCTCTGGAGCTGCGGACGGAGGAGGAGAGTGAGTGCGACGAATGGGTGGAGGCCATCCAGCAGGCGAGGTACGCGCATATGATTGTCTAACGTGTGATTTCCACCTTTCAGTTTCTTTTCATGTAGCAGGTAATATGTCACAAAGCAGTTTGAAGTGATCGGACAAAAGATTATGATTAGCACTCATCAATGTCAACTTGAAAGGAAAAACTGTTTTTTTTTTCCGTCCTCAAGTCAAATATTGATCCAGTATGTTCACTGCAAAGGTCATTGTTTCCCAAAAAATATTGTCCTTCCCATTTTCCATGATCCATATGCTTCAGTTTAGTGTGGGTTGAAGGTAAACGTGAAAAAAAGTTGACATATATACAGTACAGTAGTTTGATGTGTAAGGAATGTAATTGTGGCTTGCAGTTTCTGCAGCAACAGTTTTTCCTCTTTGATGTTTTTGTAGTAGCTCAGATATTTAGGGTAATTTTTTTAAGCAATACAGCTCCTTAAAACCACCTCATGACTTTGTTATAAAAACAAAGCTTGAGCTTTTAATTCAAAACTGCACCTTGATGCACGACCGGTGGATTACATGCTGCAGCTGTGGCTCAGTTGCTAGAGTTGTCACCTCTCAACCAGAAGGCCAAGGGTTCGATCCCCAGCTGAGCAGCATGTGTTATGTGTCCTTGGGCAAGACACTTAACGAGACAAGACATTGCTCCCACTGCTTCAGTGGCGGTGTATGAATGGATTAGTGTTGTACTTATACTCTTTGGATAAAAGCATCTGCTAATTGAATTGTAGAGTACCGCATATCAGTCTCAGGGGTATATCTTGGTACTTGAGCAGTAGTTTACGTTCTCAACAGGGAACTACACTACAGCCGACAGAAGGAGCAGGTTGACATGAAATCGCCTGATACACCGTATGTGAAGTCACAGTTTTAAAAATATCCAGTGAAATAACCAGTATGTTCGAACTTTGCTAGATGATTTGTTGCTCATCAAGGAGCCTGTTGCTCACAGTGAGAGGTTTGCCTGTTGACATCTTGGAGGGCTTAAGATTTCAAAGCTTCCACAGGAAGATCATTTGAATCATAAGAATTCACTTTGATGCACATTCAAAAACCTCTGTGTTGGTTTTCCTCTCATTTCTTGACATAGAACAAAAGATCTATAAAAACGTTTGTATTGCTGCCATTCAGAAATGTTTATGATGCCTGTGTGTATTTGTGGACTTTTTCAGTTACTCTGACATCATCATTGAACGTGAGGTGCTGATGCAGAAATACATTCACCTCGTGCAGATTGTGGAGACTGAGAAGGTGGCTGCCAATCAGCTGCGCACCCAACTAGAAGATCAGGACACTGAAATTGAGAGGCTCAAAGCAGAGGTACAGTATGCATGCTTACACACACACACACACACACACACCTACACACACTAGAAGGCTACAATCTTCAACATTTCCATCATTTTAAATCCATTTTCCTTTATAGCCAGCTTATGTTCAGCAATAGCCATTTTATGTTTCTGCATTCAGTAATTGCCTCTTTTGTGCGGGGTTTAAATTGCGTACCCACAGGGAACAATACATGTGTATAAAAGGGAGGAAGCATAAGACAAAGGCCAGTGAATTTGTGCATTACTTGTAACACAGAAGAAAAAAAGCCTGTACAGTTGTTAATGTCTTTATATTGATCTTTAAAAAAACAAACATTTTCTCTGCCTCTAAAGGTCTATTAATGTCATACTCTGAATGTAACTCTGGGATACGTGTTATTAAAATTTGCCTACAATACACAGAAGCAACCAGAAGTGTTGCAAAACTTAATTACTAACCTCTCTACAACTTTACTGGATGTTAGTATTCATCCCGTTTACAACTTCCATCCCAGAGGTGAATTTGACTCCAAATTAAAATGCCTTGCTTTTTTGTACAAATTCAAATGTTTTATTTTTGTATTAACTTTTTTTAGTCAAACAAACTGTATGTATCTTTGTGGTGTACATCTCCCTTCATATTAGACATTTGCAAAGCTTACCACTGTATTGCTCCGAATATGAGACGTTTTTTTTGTTTTTGTCAAAGAACATCTGAAAAATGAAAAGTCTTGTATTTGGGGTCTAGACTTTTTAAATGTCAATATTCACAACAGTTGCCTCACTTTGCGTCAGTATATTATAGATAGTGTACATCTTATGACTGATGGCTGCAGTCACTCACCACAGTGATCATGAAACAAAATGGCTCTCGTGTCAAGTTAACCGGCAATTGTCATCCCAGCCAGTCCCTCTATGCAACCACAGATCAATATCCAGCTTGGAACAACCAAACCCATGCCCACAAAGTCTGCCCGGAACCTGGGTGTCATGATTGTGACCAGCTAACTTTCAAGTAGCCTCGATTGCCCGGTCATGTCGATTTGCCCTGTACAACATCAGGACGATCAGACCTTACCTGTCAGAACACGCTACACAGCTCCTGGTAAAAGCTCTTGTGATATCACGCATCGACGACTGCAACTCTCTACTGGCAGGTCTTCCTACATGCACTATCAAATCTCTTCAAATCATACAAAATGCAGCAGCACGACTGGTCTTCAACCTCCCTAAAAGAGCACATGTCACTCCGCTGTTCATCTTCTTACACTGGCTCCCAGTTACTGCTCGCATCAAATTTAAAACTCTGTTGCTCGCTTACAAAACAGCAACAAAAACGTCTCCTCCTTACTTTAACTCTCTCATTCAGGTCTACACTCCCTCCCGCCCACTACGCTCTGCCAATGAAAGGCGTCTGATCCAACCTTCACAACAGGGTCCTAAGTCTCTGATTAGACTCTTCTCCTCTGTCGCCCCCCGGTGGTGGAATGAACTTCCAAACTCCATTTGATCTGCAGAGTCCCTCTGCACCTTTAAGAAAAAGCTAAAGACCCAGCTCTTTCATGAACACCTACGACCTTTATGATGAGGGTCTCGATATTATTGATGATGATGATGATGGTAGTGACGATGGTTTTTGTTTGATAACGATGACTTATAAGATGGTTTCTATACTGATTAGAGCTCTCAAGAACTGCCCTCAATGTTGTGCTTTGCCTCTGGTCACTGCCTGTCAGCACCTGTGTGTCCAATCGGGACTCAAAGCTGATCGTTTGCTCTTACTGACATTGTTCCCTTTTTTCTAGATCCTTGCTTGTGTTGTACTTACTCTCTGATGTACGTCGCTTTGGATAAAAGCGTCTGCTAAGTGAATTGTAGAATTGCTGCAGAGTTGTAATGCGAATTTTCAGATAATGTTCCGGGCATCGGTTAAGCTCCGTCGTTAGAGTGCATGTCCCTTGCACAAAGGCTATTGTCCTTTTTGCAGCAGCCATGGGTTTGAATCCGTTCTCCGCCCTTTGATGCACGTCAGCTCCACTTTTCCATCCCAACATTTCCTGTCTCTCTTCAGCTGTCCTATCTAATGAAGGCAAAAATGACTTCCCAAAAATGTACTTTAAGACAATGGTTTTTAAGATAATGGTTTTAAATGTGGCAGAGTCATTAAACAACTCTCAAGCAGCTAAGAACTACGGTGTCCTCAGGGTGTAACATCCAATAACTGCGTGCCCTAACTGATCACCTTAAAAACGCTAACAGTCAAAGAAGATCCAACCATGGTCCTCACATGTCCATGAGATTGACAGGAGAGTAAGTGAGAATGTTACTGAAAAACAATTACCTTGCCATGTTATTATTCTGTTGTAAATAACTTTCAAAGCCTTATTTTTTACCAAAAACTGTCTTTGCAATGTAAACATTACATACATTGTGTTTTGATTATCCTTATGATTCAGCATTTTTTTTCTCTGATGTACGTCCCCTTATGTGTTCATTTTATATCCATATATAAATATATATATATCCAGCTAATTTGTTTGACATGTCTAAAAAAACACTAAGCAACACTTTTTTTGTTAAGTCCTTAAAAATCACATTAATATTTGTCATTGAAGACCCAAAGTCCCATGAACACTCCATGTTTCATTTGCCCTAGCTTTTTTATAGTTTGCATACAAAACCAAAGCACCACTCACTCGCTCGCTCACTCACTCACTCACTCAATCACTCACTCACTCACTCACTCTCCTGCCATGAATCATTTGAAGTGTGGTACAAGATAAAACACATACCTGTAAATAGAATATAGCCGTATCCTTATGAGTGTGCAGTCAGCTTGGTTGTTTGTCTCCTCAAAGCTGTGTTTATCACAGCAGAGGAGTAGGTGTGAACGATCCTCACTCATCCCACCACTCAATACATACATTCCATCAACATATTTACAAACAGATGTCGAACCATTACGTAAGCCTAACGAACGCAACATGTTTCCGTGGCGTCACAACACGATACATCAGACGTGCACACTCTCTCAATAAACAAGAATGACTTCTACAACATTGTAAATCAGAGCTAATTACAGTTCTCCCTCAGACACACCAACAGCAGCTAATTACTGTTTTTTAGATAATTATCTAGATCCATAATACAAAACGAAACTACAAGTTTACTGTTGATGCTGACATCACTGTCACACTGCTGAGAAAAAGCATGCATATCGGTAAATCTATTTGTTATAGACTGGAATTTTATTGTGATCATGTGTTCACATCGTGGAATAACTTTGAACACGTGGTGTTAAAAGAATGAAACAGTGAAATCTTAAGACCTAATCAAGGCAAAACAAAACAATCACTAACAGAAAGCAGACAAAGGAAACCAACTAAGAATCAAACAGATTTTAAAAAATGTAAATAAGAACAAAAAAGTGACCTTCAGTTGAATGCTCCATGAACCCAATAGTTATTACAATTAATTATAGATTGAAAGCAAAACATACTCTGATTGGCATACTTTGATTGGCCAGCCTGAAAAATGGTTTTATGTAGAGATTAGAGGATATAAGATGTTTGGTTAGGGATCTGCCTCTTCCTGATTTGTGCAGAATTCCTGGTTTTCCAACCTGAAAGGTGACTGACCAGACTTTAATGATCCATGGCGAGGTTAGTTGGTGTTTGCCTTGAGCTCAGTCTGCTGAATTCAAAAGGGTAGCAGTAGCTGTATGGCTGTTTGTGTTTGTTGCTGTGCTGTAGACGCACTCCAAGGTAACATAATAAGCGTCCGTTAGCCGACAGCTCCTGACACAGAGTTGTTGAATGGTAAAAGTTTGGGGACTTTTAGAGGGTGTGGTGTTTTTGTTTGTTTCAGTTACAAAGGCGGCTGCCATTACCTGTATTACCTTACTGAAAATAATCATTTTTTTACTCATTGATCAGGGTACACACAGCTGGCAGCAGCAGAGAGTCCCTCTCCCCTCTCTTGCCTTTGGACGAAAGGCTGGCAAAAATGAGTTACTATGGTTACGGGTACGCTACTATGGCTGTCACTGAAACTTTGCCAGTTCTTCATTATGCTGCTGTACAGTATGGTCAGAAGACATCGATATAATTGTTGAAAAGCCACGAGCTTTTCTTTTTTGCACACAGTGAAACTAAAATAATTCAAAAGTTGATAACAAGCTCCATCATTTCTGTATCATTCGAAGCTACGGAGACACCATATACAGTATACACTGATTTAAGATGAATTCACTTTTCCTTGCTGTGAATTGTTGCCAGATTCACAAATAAAGAGGTTACAGACAACTGAAACAAAAGCCTAACAATTATTTTTGCAAAATCCTTTTGTGAAAGTGTCCTCACAAGAACTATTGCTTGTCATTATGAGTAAAACGTTGAAGTTTAATCTCTTCATTTCACTCGTCTCGACAGACTGGATGTTGAATCGTATGCTTGCTTTGCTGGTGCTGCATGTCCAGCCCTGACTGCTTCACTCTGACAAACAGGATGTCTAATTAACCACAAAGTTTGTCTGAATGAAAATATATCACAAAGTTTCCAAAATCACTGACTTCTAAAATAAAGCTTAAAAAACTGTCATCTGAAATACCGTCTGTGTCAATAATCTCTAGTATAAATATTTTGCTTTCGTAGCTTGGTTCTATCTTCAGGAAGAAATACTGTAGCGCTGTGTTTAATAGATTCGCCCCTCTTGCTGCTTTTAATTCTCCCTCGGTGCAACAAGTGTGTGTGGCGGGTACGTCTCCCCCTCAACACACTGTGATCGTCTCTCATTGGCAGGATATAGGGGGGCCCTGTTGATGATGAAAATTCAAACCAAAGGCATTTTATATTAGGAAACATCTGCCTGTGTAATGAGGCTGCTCATGAAAAAGGGATTAGTCTTTGAGAGCCAGTGTGCAGTTGTTGATCCATCTCATTAAAGCCATACTCTTGTTTGTTTGTTTTTGTGTGTTGCTCTGTGTTTATGTATAATTAAACCAACTAGCCACTGTAACTGTCAGCGGTTGGCAGACTGGCTCCTCTCCTACTGCCATTTGCATGCTAGTGCTGGTGAATAAGAAAATGAAGAAGAGAGTGTGGGGCTGTTAATGGCTTTGGTTTCATCTTTCATGCTTTTCTCCATCTGTGATAAACCGATGTTGTCAAGAGGCCTGAATTGTGTGTAGTACGAGAGCTGGATTTATTTCTCCACAGAAGATGGTGTTGCCAAGAAAAACCTTTCACAAGCTTTGTATGTCTGTCATCAGTCATCAGTGATGGTTTAAGAAGAGTGTTTATACAGCATCTATTATAAGGTTTACAATGTGAAAGGAGACTTTTTTTCCACAGCTCAACAACAGTTTGAGTTTGGCAGCTGCCCGCCTTTGCGATGCCTATGTGTGGCTCAGTTTTCCAACCTGAAAGATAACTATACGTTTGCTGTGGGCTGTTGGCTTGTCTGACATGCAGCGAGTAATTTTTCAAAGGCTGACCTGACTTTGCGTTTTGAAGAGGATATTTCAGAGTTAGAAAAACAGTACAAGAATTTAGGAAAAGGTTGTCTTTAATCAGTGATTTGTCTATTTCAGCAGGAAACAGAAAGAAAGCGTCTGCAGAGGATTATTTCATGACTTCCTGCGGTCTACAGTGCACTTGAAGTGATAAGGCACATCAAAGCCTTTATTTGCTTATAGTCACCAGCTGATATGAGCCCCTCCCCCCCCTTCTCTGTCATTCTCTCTTTTTTTGAATGAAGACATCAGATTGTCAAAGTTGAGGAAGTCTGATGTCTATCTGATGCAAATACACCAACGGTTGACTGAGAACACATTGCATGACTATCACTTAAACAATATTCAAAAAAATGACCTGGAGCCTCTTCAGGAAAATATTCTGAGCACTTTATGCTCTACCTCAGGAGGCCATGTTTAATTTAATGTGATATAGTATAATTGAATGCTCTTTTTTTCAGATGTTTCCCCCACTGATCATGAGTTTAATGTGTCTGACTTATTTTCTCTTTAAAGATTGTAGCTCTGAACAAAACTAAGGAGCGAATGCGGCCTTACCATGTCAACCATGAAAATGAAGATCCAGATATCAAAAAGATCAAGAAGGTATTTTTTTAAATCAAATGCTCATTCCCAGTAATATGAAGTCTTTGTGGGCTCTTCTTTTCTATAACTGTTCTGTGCATGTTGCAGCACAGTATGAGTGTGTCGTGTGTGTCTGTGTCTAAGCTTCCTTGTTTGTTTCTCATCAGGTGCAGAGCTTCATGCGGGGCTGGCTCTGTCGGAGGAAGTGGAAGATCATCGTTCAGGACTATATCTGCTCTCCTCACGCTGAGAGCATGAGGAAGAGGAACCAGATCGTCTTCAACATGGTGGAGGCAGAGACAGAGTATGATTAAAAACGTTTTGCCTCCAGTAACTGCAAGCGCTGTCAAGCTTTCCATAATACATAATAAAAACAAGAAAGGATGCTCTGGAGTTACTGTGAACACACATCAGCAGGGTTGAGCAGTGTGATGATCAATACTGTGAGAAGGAAGAGATTTTCTCCAGAACATTAAATCTTGTTCTTGTTTTCTGGTTGTATTAGAACTTACTGACATTTTGCAAATCATGAAACAGGAAAGGGTTAGATCTAATTTTATTTATGAGTGTATTGATCCTTATTTTTCATGGTAAATAAAGATGCTATGAAGAGATATTACCTCGAGATAAGGAAATCTGTAAAAAAAAAAAAAAAAAAACATTACACTAGAGTTAATGTCTGTATCATGATAAATCAAGAGTGACTGAGAGCTGCTTTTTTGGACCCTGGTGGTAATGGCATGTGTATATATATATATATATATATATATATATATATATATATTTGTTTTTTAGAAAACAGCTAGAAAAAGAAATGCATATTGTATTTAAAGTCCTGCAGGCTTCATGGAAATGTATGACTGTGTCAGAAGTGTCACTTTTTTAGGAATGTTGAAACAGCACATCATATTTAGTGGAAAATTAGAATATATTTATTCAACACTCTTTACCCTCCTGTGTTTGTGACATAAACATTACCGACCCCTGTTAAAAAGTAAAAAAATGTTGTCACAGCAACAAATGTTGAGAGAAGATATCAGTTATTGTGTTTGAACAGTAACAGGGTTAGAAGAGGGGACATTAATTTATATTTCAGAACAAAAAAAACTATTACAATTAAACTATTAAATTAAAAAAACATCCTCATGAAATGTATTTCCTCAAATACTGCCTCTGTTGGAGGATACAGACGTTACTAAAATCATTATCTCACGTGTTTTTTTTAATGTTTTTCCCGTGTGTGATGACAGGTACGTCCACCAGCTCTACATCCTGGTCAACTGTTTCCTCAGACCTCTGAGGATGGCTGCCAGTTCCAAGAAACCCCCCATCAGCCATGATGACGTCAGCAGCATCTTCCTCAACAGGTGCATACCTCTGTGTGAATCTGCTCCTACGTGATTAACTAGTATTTGACTTCTGTCTTTGCCTGGCAGTAAATCATGCTGGAGTCAAACGCATGGATGGGACAATGAAACCTCTATTTATCATTTTGTATTAAGTCTGCTGTCTACAATGTGCTTTCAGCGAGACCATTATGTTCCTACATGAGATCTTCCATCAAGGCTTGAAGGCGAGGATAGCCAACTGGCCGACTTTGGTGCTGGGTAAGCTGTTACCTAACCTCAGAGAAAACACACAGATACTCAGTGTGTGTGTGTGTGTGTATGTGTGTGTGTGTGTGTGCTCTGCAGCCACTCAGTGAAATCAAGGTCAGGTTTTCAGTCATCCTCCACATCCACTTTGTCTCATTCAAACGTCAGTCTTGACGTCTTACTGCCCCATTCACACACACTCAAACGCACACACTCGCGCTCATTTTCCTATCTCAGTCTGCACCCAGCACACTCATTGTCTTGACAGACAATGACCACACAGAGCAGAGGGCCTACCACAAATTCCCGTCCTAAAAGAGAAACCTCCTCGACAGATAACATCACCTAGGAGACAGACTGCTGAAAGGCACAACAGCAAATTACTTGTGACAAATTCAGAAAGAAAGAGATTGTGTGATTAGATGTCATCCTTATCTGACTCCCTGCCTCAGGCTGACGCTGAATGCAGATTTTCTACCAACAATATGTTTTGACGCAAATCACTCTCCATTGCCACATACTATAAACCATCAACAAATTACGGCAGATGAGAAGAAGCCTCAGCAAATTACTTGTGACAAATTCAGAAAGAAAGAGATTGTGTGATTAGATGTCATCCTTATCTGACTCCCTGCCTCAGGCTGACGCTGAATGCAGATTTTCTACCAACAATATGTTTTGACGCAAATCACTCTCCATTGTTCTTTAAATTTGTCTTTGTTTTTTTTTTGTTTTTTGTCTTTCTCGCTTGGTTTGAAAAGCCTAAAGATCCAGCCATTTTCCCTAAAAAGTAAAAAAGGAAACATTACTTCTTCCAGTACTTTTCCTTTTTCAGTGTGTCCATTTTGGCCTTGTAGTCATGTACTTGTATACGACTACAAGAAAGAAGAAAGCATTGTGATCAGTAAACTTACTAGGATGCCGTACCTCACATGATGTTAAAACTGTGTTTACAGAGTTTGGTTTAAGGAACCAGCTTTGAAGTGAGTTTAGAATTCTACTATCTCTTCTCAAACGAGCAAAAGCCGATGTGTTTCCTTCATTCTAACCATCAGTCTCTTCCCTTTGTGTTTTTTAAAGGAGAAGCTCAGCACACTTCTCATAACAGTTGGCCTTCTTATTTCTGAGAAGCAATGTTCAAACTTACTGGGCAGGGAAAAACGATTTGACACATATAGACAAATGTAAATGTCTGTTGTGTAGCTTTCTGTTGCCACTTATTAAAGACCTAACCTTGTTGGTAATGAAATGTATTGAAAAATGAACAAGCGACACACAGTTAGCATTGCATGACTCAGCAGTAACACATCAGAGAGGGCGAGTACAGAGCTAGCACAACAGATCTCTGTAATTTTCCAGTAGAGTCATGAAAAAGAAAGAAACTGAGATATTTGAGACTGTAATTTTAAGTCCCCATTGAAAGTTCAGAACGCTTATTATTGTCCACAAGAGTAAAAGCTACAATAGTAATAGTTTTTCAACAGTTAGCCATATAACAATGTGTTTGCAACACACTAGCATTTGACAGCTAAATTCTTCAAAGTCAAAATAAACCAGCTGACATTAAAAACAGTAAAATGCTCCAGAAAAAGGTATCCCACTTTTACCCTCATGTCTTACATACTGTAGAATCTGTGTGTATGTGTTTTTGATTCTAGCTGACCTGTTTGACATCCTGCTGCCCATGCTGAACATCTATCAGGAGTTTGTGCGCAACCATCAGTACAGCCTGCAGGTTTTGGCCAACTGTAAGCAGAACAGAGACTTTGACAAGCTGCTGAAACAATACGAGTCTAACGCTGCCTGTGAGGGGAGGATGCTGGAGACCTTTCTCACATACCCTATGTTCCAGGTACATTAAGGACACCAGAGCCTTCACAGTTTTCAGAATTATGCACATAGGTAGCTTTTTTAGGTCTATAATGACTTGATCTTTTCTCCTACAAGATTCCTCGCTACATCATCACCTTGCATGAGCTGTTGGCGCACACGCCTCACGAGCATGTAGAGCGCAAGAGTCTAGAATTTGCCAAGTCCAAATTGGAGGAACTGTCGAGGTAGGATTGTCTGAATAAAAATTCTGAAACACATCTAAAGATTGAATTCTGAACTTACTGCTGTGTTTTCATGTTTTCAGAGTCATGCACGACGAGGTCAGTGACACTGAGAACATCAGGAAGAACCTGGCTATAGAGAGGATGATAGTGGAGGGCTGTGACATCCTCCTTGACACAAGCCAGACCTTTGTGAGGCAGGGTGAGTCTTCATCAGCTAACTGCACTGCTCACCACACAGCTTAGCTCCGGATGTTTCCCTGATTATAAGACCGTCCTGCCTCCCAACTTTTGGATCCAAGAGCACCGACACGTTACCTTGGTGTAGCTCAGTCACTGAATCATGGCATCAGCTTTAGAGATTTTGCTCTTCTCAAGCTTTCCCTGTGAAAAAAAGAGATTCTACTGAATGGTAGAAGTTCTCCATGACACGTTCCTTTTTAGATCGAGCCTAATGGACAAAACATCTAAGCAGTCGTAGCAATAAAAAGCTGTTATTTGGTTGAGAAGGATATATATACTTCTTATATACTTTCAAGTTTTGTGCCTGTGGCCTTCCAATGCACTTTTACTGTCAGGTGTTTGACAAATGGAAGTAATGTAAAGTCAAAACGTAGAAAGCTACAACAAGTTCCCATTCTGCCTACGATCACTTGTATAAGATAAAGACTAAACATGATGTCATGGTAACAGAACATCAGTTTGCAGTTTGCACACTGTAACAAAACACAGTCATTCTTGATTGCCCTAATCTTTAATCTACTGCATTAATTCTACATTTCATCAGCAATTGGTTAAAATAAAGATTGGTGGACGAGACCGGCCCTTAAAAGCTCTGATCAAAGCCCTACTTAGTCTTTTGTGATGCTCATTTGCTTTAGAGCAGGCACTGAACTAATATCTAAATAAACTCAGAACTCAGCTGACCTGCCTGCCAGGTCTATAGTGTAGATATTTAACACATGTATGTTTGTTTAAGTACAGAAACTTTGTAAACTTAGCCCCCACCTTAGTGTCAGCTTAATGAAACTGAGGGTAATCCTGGTCCCATCCTGCCCCTCATGCAGGCTCTCTGATCCAGCTGCCGTCAGTGGAGCGAGGGAAACTGAGTAAGGTCCGCCTCGGCTCTCTCTCCCTGAAGAAGGAAGGGGAAAGACAGTGCTTCCTCTTCACCAAACATTTCCTCGTCTGTACACGCAGCTCTGGTGGAAAACTGCACCTCCTCAAGGTGATAACATCCAACACAAGTCACGCAGAAAAACAAATGATGCCTCTTTGTACAGAGTTACTTTGACTGGCTTGTTTCCCCTGATTGGTTGTTCGATTCAGACCAGTCGATTTGTTAAAATGTAAATATGAAGGGGCGGAGGCTCAGAAACACACATCAGACATCATTTAAATTATTGTTAGTGACATGCAATTTTATATATCTGATAATTCAAAGAAAAATCTTGTGAAATATTGTTGCCTACTGTAGCTTTAACATCATTTTTTTTATCATAAAAGATACAGAAACTTGCTTTAGGTATTGCTTTATTGTCAAAAGCAAACCTTTGTTTTGGTAGAGCCCAAAAGACAGACTCAAAAGTCTAAAAGGAAATCAGTTTAAGTGACTTCCTGTCTGTCATGCTGTAGAGGGATTCTGCAAAGAGTTTGAGTTAAACTTTTCATCTGTTCACTTGCTTACCTGACACATTCGTGTTTCGTACCAGAAAGTTCTACTCCTTCATAGGTACACCATCTTTGTTATCATATGTAATGTATGTAAAGAGCACATCAAGAGTGTGTATAGAAATACATATTAGAAGGAAGCCGGTGTTCTTCTGTGATGTGCTGCCTTGTCAGAAAAAGGGTTACCATAGCGTTAAATATAGCAGAGGCTATTCGTATGCCGTATAAAATGATGCTCCCAGTACATAATGCCTTTATATTTAACCACTACTCACTCCATATTCATTGTCAGAATATGGGAGCAATTTTTATTTAAGATTTCAGGGGACATATTTCTCAATAGCCAAATATCCACTATCATATCATGCTCCCCATACATAGTCACTTTATCGATGAATGTAAAGAAAAGGGTAGCATGTTTTAATGAATGTCTCTTCAGTGGAACCTTAACCTACTTCATGTCATTTAACTAGATCTTGTAAAGAAAGTGTATTTTATTTTTTTTGCATTTGTTTTTAACACTGTTGTTAATATATCTTTCGAACTCCTGCAGCAAGGCGGAGTCTTGTCCCTGATTGACTGCACGCTCATAGAGGAACCAGATGCCAGTGACGAGGAGTGTAAGTTTACTACATCATCTATGAATCAATGTTTCCACTTTCGCCGTCACTGGGAGCTCATCGGCTCATTAAAGCCCTTCAGCACTCACAGAGGTTAATTAGGTGTCAGATGATGTGTGTCCAGAAATCACTTTAAATATCAGATGCTCACCCCTTTAAATGTCGAGGTTTGATCTTTTGACACTACAGATCCATTATATTTTTTCTAAGGATCAATTTAGCAAGTAGAAAGACACACACACACACACACACACACACACACACACACACACACACACACACACATGCACACAAACAACATACATGTGCACATGTCTTCATCACACAACTTTACACTTTAGCTCAGGGGTGCAAAGAATGGATAGGAAAGTCTGTTTCGTTAGCCCTGTGTGTGTGTGTGTGTGTGTGTGTGTGTGTGTGTGTGTGTGTGTGTGTGTGTGTGTGTGTGTGTGTGTGTGTGTGTGTGTGTGTGTGTGTGTGTGTGTGTGCGTGTGTGTGTGTGCCTTTCTACTTGCTAAATTAATCCTTAGAAAAAATATCATGGATCTGGTTGTTGTGTATGGGCACAAGCATGTTTTTTACTTTCACTATCATGTAAAAAACACAATGAAAAGCTCTCTACTGTCCTCTCACACAGCTAAAGCAGGCGGTCAGGTTTTTGGCCAGCTGGACTTCAAGTTGGTGGTGGAGCCGTCAGACTCACCGTCATTCACGGTGGTGTTACTGGCACCGTCACGGCAGGAGAAGGCAGCGTGGACCAGCGATATTAGCCAGGTAATGCTCAAAGTCACACAACACACACACACTCCCAGACGAACACTGAATAACAAGAGCCTCCAAATAACGAGAGAAGTCTCCTTCGGGCATTCAGAAGGCTTAGTGATAAAGTAAACACAGACACGGGTGCAGTTCCCAGGAGGCGAGCCTCAGAACTACACAAACACAGTTGTACATTACAAGCATGTCACACTGGATTCATTTTTATCAGACAAAAAACATACATCTGGCTTTTTGTTTTTCTCAACATTGTCAACCAGTTTAAGAATACAAAACAAGTCTTTCAGTATTTAAGAGTGTGGCCAGAAAAACAACACAGATACACTTTTTTAAATAAATGTACTTTACTTTACTATAGTATATATACAACAACACAATAATTACTATATTGTGTTGTTTCAGTCTCGCATGTTGTATGCTTTAAATTCTGTGCTTCAGAAACCCTGTTAATTAAAAAAAAACTTACCCAGAATACTACCCATGAGATATAAAATCTCTTACACAGGAGACCAAGTTAACAGCATATCAAGGTTTCAAATAAAAGACATCAAAAACGTACATGTGCATTCACTGGTACATCTGATTCTGTCGTTATAATCTTTCATACCATTAAATCTATCTCGTTTCGTTGAAGGCAAGTGTTGCTGAATATGTGAAGTTATTCTCCCTCTTCCTTCTCAAAATGTCATTCTTTCACTTTGTCCTCTGATCTTTTCTCTGTACTTCTGTAGTGTATAGATAACATCCGCTGTAATGGCTTGATGACCAGTGTATTTGAGGAGAACTCTAAAGTCACTGTGCCTCATATGATCAAGTAAGTGTGTTTGAAGAGAAAAACACATCTCTTCGTACCAGTTTTGCAAAACACTAGATTATAAAGTAGCATACTCGGTGAAAATGTTAGTTGTGTTGATGAATGGTAAATATAGGCTGGATGTTATGTATTTTGCTTTTTGTATTATTATTTGTGCTGTTGCTCGATAGTGTTCTTTGGTATACGCTCTTATTTTTAGCTTTCTTCTTTGGATTATACTATTGATTTATGTATTCATGTCTCTCTTACTTTTTGTGTATTTTTGCTGAGCTATTTTCATAATAAGTTCCTTTCTTAGCAGCCCAACAGTCACCCATGCTTGGTTATGTGTGTGTGTGTGTGTATGTGTGTACTTGTGTATCCATCAGATCCGATGTGCGTCTCCATAAAGATGATGTTGACATTTGCTTCAGCAAGACGCTCAACTCCTGCAAGGTCCCCCAGATCCGCTACGCCAGCGTGGAGCGGCTGCTGGAGAGGCTGACAGATCTGCGCTTCCTCTCCATCGACTTCCTCAACACCTTCCTGCACACGTACAGGATCTTTACCACGGCAACGGTCGTCATGGACAAACTGGCCGACATCTACAAGAAGCCCTTCTCGTCGATACCTATCAGGTCATCACCCTGCAAACAATCAAATATGCGTTCACAAACACAAAAATAGGAGTAGGTGCAGACTGTCTGGATTTCAGTTTGGATGAGTGTATGAAAACTGTAAGGATGTGTATTTGTGTGAAATGAGTTTACTGAGAGGGTTTTATAAGCCTCCCCCTCATTCTGTGCATGAGGTAGTCCTATGCAGGTCAGTGTTTTGGACCCAGCACGCAGCACCCACTTCTGTCCACAAGGTTGAATACATTTTGGCTGAAACACACTACAGCTTGTGTTTTAAAGCCAGCAGAACAGATGCTTCAACAACAATATGTTTTTGGCTCTGCTGTAGGAAAAATAACGTTTGACAGATTAAGAGTTTGTATCTCTATTTTTTTTCATGCTCTCATCTAGTGGGGGTCTGGCTGAAAACTAGAAAAGTTATTCTCTGCCTGGTCTGTATGTAAAGTGCAGCTCGCTATGGCCTGAGGATGCGTTCACTGGAAGAGAACAAAGAGGAGACATCATAGACCAGTGGCATGCAGGGAGGGAAGTGTTGGGCTCTGGTGAAGTCCTCTTACTCAGACTTTGTTAAAAGAATTCTCCATTTTGCCCATTGACTATAGATAAAGATGGAGGACACGTCTCTGCTTCCTCTTGTTGTACTAAAGTAAGACCAAAATCTATCCATGTATTTGTGTCTAACTGAAAATCTCAACATCTAGTGGAGAAAATGTACAGTCGTGATTCCCAAGGGAAATTTTCAATCAGTTAGGGCCAGGGCTCTAATCCATCCAAAGTTTAAACTACCGAATAAATTATTGTTTAACAATTAATGCTGATAAAACACAAGGTATTTTAACGACTTCCTGTTCGTTGTTCCTATATGTTTTATGCTCATGACTCGGATGATGCCAATATTAAGTCAAAATTGAAACTTTTCTAATAAGTTAGAAAAAAATACCAAAACCAAAGAGCTTCCTATCAGTGTCAGGCGGCCATTACATTTAGTGTTAATAACTAAATGTTGTCATGCTCGCATGCTGAAGAGCGAGGTAAACATCACACAAGCTACCCATGATAATCATATCAAAGAGACATAAGCATTTTGCTCTGACTTATTGCCTGGCTTATTTAGTTTTATGAATAATGTATTTAATTCGCCATGTATTCCAATAAACATTTGATATCAAGATAATTCGATTTTGAGGACATTTCTGTTCAAGGAGTCTTGAACCACAAACCGAACGTCCCCCCAAAGTCTGTTTTATTCTTTTCTCTTTCAGAAGGAGGAGGTTCTCACTGTTTGATTACACACACACACACACACACACACACACACATACGGCCACATTGAAGCACATAACACAGATTCTTGACAGTTCACTGTATAGTTCTGTTTCTTTGGTCACTTTTCAATACCTGGGAGATTGATCATGCTGTTGTTCTCTTGCTCACACTCTGCTCAAAAACACCTTTCCTCTTTCAATTATTTCAATTATTATGCCTCAATCATCTACCCTCAAATCATGCTCTGTCTCTGTCACATCTTTTATTTTCATGTCTAAAAGGAAACACCCCTCCATTTAATCATTGTTCTGTGTCATCCATCTCCTGTCCCCCCCACCCCCCACCACCACCACCACCACCACCACAGGGCACAGTACCAATCATTTGATCGTCTGTCCATCTCATCCATGTGTCCTGACTACAGTATGAAGATCAAGAAGATAGCCGTGGACCAGTCCAAGTAATCAACTCTTCTCTCTCTGTCCTGCTTCTCACTATATCCTTTCTTTCCTGCCTGTTCTTCCTTTCCTCTGGTCTCGGTCTGACAATTCACTGATGCACGAGTTCCTCCTTACTTGGACTTTTTCTATTCTCTTTATATCTCTTTGTATAAATGCACAACTCATGGATTTTTTAGGTTGATGCTGGGTTCATGTTATGTTATGTCATGTTTCTTTTCACTCTGTAGTGAATCCATATCTGTTATTCCTCTTCAGTGCTTTTTAAACACTTCTCTTCAGCATCTTCAGCTGCTTGTCTCCTCTTTTTTTCCCTCTGCTTGCCTGAGAGTTCTTCCGCGTCCTTCTTTCTGCTTTTCAAGTATCTTCCCTTGCTTTATCCTCTTCAGTTTGCCTCCCTCCTCTTATCAACTGGGATTCAATTTGTTCTCCTATCTTCTGAGGATTTACAGGCGTGCGTGAAGAAATGATAGCTGTGTTTATCAATGCATGGTTACTCCTCCCTAGATGTAGCTCTTTACACATGACTCTCTGAGCAGTGTCGATGTCATCATGGAAATGATCACCAAATGACTCATTGATTAAAGCTTTTGCACTTTCATTGCTTATTTAATTCAGCGTTTAATCCTTGCAATTGTACTCTGTAGAAGGAGATCTTGTTTCTCTCCTATGTCGGTTATACTTTTCTATGAAAAGACAGTTGGTTCCAGAAATAAAGGATTTTATGTGGCTTCATATTCACATTCCCTGAACAGTTTTAGGAACACTCATATACATTTAAGTTTTAGTCCAAAGCAGCAAAGCAATGACACCAAGACAAGACAATCAGGGAATTTGGGGAGCCATAATTTATAATCTCTCCTCCACTCTGTAAGGTTCACCCTTTTAGATCAAACTTAGAATATGTTTTTCTGCCTAAATCAGATCTAAAGCAAGCAGCCTCATAATAAGTTGATAGGACAATCATGCTGACAAATAGTTCCTTTTAACAATCAGGAAGAGCAACATTGCAATTCTTTTGTGGTAGAAATATGTTAGTCCAATAAAGACTCTCTTGTTCGTTCTGTTTTCATGTTACTGATACTTCATAGCGTCTTCATTTTCCTTTATGTTCAAGAGATAGCTGCTTACTTTGCCTCTCTGCTGTAGGAGAAATCCAGGAAATATACAGAGGTTTAATCTTTAAGATTCTCAATGAAAAAAGATGCAAAGAACAGATGCTGATTACAGCAATGAAGCGGACCAAGATAACAAGGCCATAGAATCAAATCTGATGAATAATGCAAAGCCTGCATAGTTAAGTGAAGACTCTGTTTTCTTCCACATTTACAAGTGGCCCATTTTTGATGCTGCATGTACTCATTTCATCATTTGAACGGACACATAATTAATAAAGGAGCTTTTTGCTTTTGTTGCCTTTTCCTCCTCTATTTTCTATTTCTTTGAAACTAGGTAAACAAATAAACAAACATCTTAACTTCCTACATGCTTCCTCTGATGTGGATGTGAAAACGCTAAAATTAAAGCTGAGAGTTAGCACCATAACCTCAAAGACTCTGTTTTACTCCCAGACCAGTATGCTCGAGCACAGCGCTCTAAAATAGTGCCAGTGTTGTAATACTTTATGACTGCACTGTGTGTGCCCACACATTATTAGTCACTCTGGATAACTACATTAGCTAAATGCCCCAAATGTAACTCGGAATGCCTTTAGGTTGTGGTTGTGTGTTTGCTGTGAAAATTCGAACCCCTTCCATGTGGGTTTTTCATACTCTCATTCTCTTCATTGTGAATTCTGAATCCGCAGCATGCAATTTTATTTTGACTCTAAACTTCTTCAAGGAACTACCTGACAAGGTTCATTTCCATTGAACCCATTCCATTTAAGGCAAACAGACTTGTTTTGAGATGCTGCACTTTCATATTTTCTCTTCATCCTTTTCTCATTTCCCCTGAACTCTCTCTTGTGTTTTAAAGATATCCACTTATTTTTCTAACATATTGCTTTTCTCCCCCTTCAGGTCTCTGGAGCTTTTCTTTGCCACCAATCAGAATAACAGAAGTGGTGAGCACACAAATGACAAATCACCTCGTCTCTGCCGCAAGTTCTCCTCTCCGCCTCCTCTGTCCATCCCTTCCCGCACTTCCTCTCCTGTCCGTACACGAAAGCTCTCCCTCCACTCCCCTATCACTGGCAGGGTCGGAGGGCTCGACCTGACCAGTCCCCTGTCAAACTCCAGCACTAACCATAGCACTTCCCAGTCTGCTGCCAGTAGCCCCACATCTGCCCACACCCCCCAAACCCCCACGCCACAGACTCCCACTCCAACCACCTCCTCTCCGTCTCCTCCTCTCTCCTCTACCTCTCCACCGCCAAACAATTCCAAGCCACCACAAGAACAAGCTCCTCCCATTCCCTCGTCTCCGGATCAGAGTCCTTGCTCAACTACCGAAGGGGAGGAGGTGCAAAAGATCGACCCTTTCTGCGGCAAACTGAGAAGGAGCATCCGCAGAAGTAAGTGATTTAATTTACACCAACATGAAGCAGAAAAACATCCAATCAGAACAGCAGGGCGTTTTTTTGAGATGTGCCTATGTTTGGTGCAATACCTGATCTTCAGTGCTTTTTCCAAACTTTTAAAAGACACATCTTAACATATTCTAGAGGGGAATCTTCTCTTCAATCTTAAATTAAATTAACATCTCTTAATCTGTAAACACAAGCAGCAATAAAAAATAAAACAAATCAGAACAAAAATCGAATTAACTCAGAAATGATGAAAAAAGACATTAAAGAATGACTCCAGGATGAGATCAGTGTTTAAACACATCCCTGTTTGAAAGTTTGTGGTCTGTTTCCCTCGTGCCTGCTCTCATTATCACCATCCTGTTGAGCTGTTTGCTCCTCTAACTAAAACCAAACAGTGACACCTCTTTGTGTACTGACGTGTATGCAGTTGGCCTTGTAAGTTGAACAATCGTATCTTTCCTCAGACTAAAATAGACATACAGAGAGCCTTATTGGAGTACTAAATTACTCATGAAGAGCTGCAGGTCACTCATCAAATGACACAGCGTGAAGTGTCCCCTGTAAGAGCAGAACAGGCGCATGGTGGGGCATCATTATCTTCTTGTGTTCGTGTGCTTGAGTCAGCTAAGCCGACTTCCCACTATATAGTGGTGTTAAACGGGCCTCTCAGACTGAAGAGAGATAGCGTAAGGGCATCTGAGGCATCGCGTCAAGAAAAGGTTACAAGAAAGACGCTAATTAGCTTGTGCGCACACATACAAAAGGTGTGTGTGTGTGTGTGTGTGTGCAAGAGTGTGTGACAGCTGCTAACCCCTCACGAGGACATAAAGAGCCATTAGCACTTGTACCATAAAGCCACTCTCACCTCCTCCACATACAGGGTCTCTATTCTCTATCTATCTTAATCAGACATTATATTTATGTGTTGGTATGGATCCAGGTCTATACTGTACAGGATCTGCATATCTTCCTATATATCTGCTCATCTTGTCCATTCAGACAAAGCAAGTTAACAGACACAAAAACATGAAAACAATGTCACAAAAAGCAACATTAGAAGTTAGCAGTTCTGAAAAGGTGGGTTTTGATTAGGGATTTGAATCTGTGGCAGGTCTGTAGAAGTCTCAGATGTGTTTGGGGAGAGAGATCCAGGGGGAGGGGGTAGCAATAGAACATTTAGGGGGGCCAGGTTGTTCGGGGCTTTGAAGTTAAGGAGAAGGACTCTGAACCAGATTAGTTGGAGAACTGGGAGCTAGAAGAGGTCCTGGAGGACAGGGGTAATGTGGACACTTGGGCGGGAGTGTGTGAGCAAACAAGCAGCATTTTTGGCTTTACTATTTTGTTTATTGAGTTCATTTGGATGATGAACCATATAGAAGGCTGTTTGCAGACAGGAAGAAAAAAAAAAGCTGAATATATAAGCATAATAATTACAGATGCTGCCGGGGAGCAAGGACCCAGTGACTGGTCTGTTGAGTGTGAAAATGGTTGTAAAAGATGAAGCTTCCCTTCACAATCAACAGATTTCACTCCAGTTATACACATGTTTATATTTTGTTTATAAGATTTAGTTTTGGGTTTTTGCCTTTTTATTTAGATAGGACAGTGAAGAGAAAGAGTGGGGAACAACATGCAGGAAAGAAGCTGCAGGTCGGACTTGAACCTGGGCCGCCCGCTTGAAGGACTGTAGCCTCTGTACATTGAGTGCGACTTTACCGCTAGGCCATTAGCGCCCCTTAATTGCTTCATGTGTTTGACGTTACTCTCGACAACCCTCATTTAAACACAAAATGAATTCATGTTTATTTAAAAAAACAAATGTCATCCCTCCAGTAAAGTTTCACAATATGCAAGGACCACTGACACTGCTCTAGAGGATCTGGAGACACTTTAGATTTGATTTAGTTTGTCTAATCGTGTTTCAAAAACAGAAATGTAGGTCCCATTACAGACTGGTACCATTGGTCTCTTCTTGGTGTGTGTTAAAGTGTTATGGTGCACACAAAAAAACACACTAAATACATCTGGGATCTTCATAGCTGCAAACTTCTCCACTCCAGTGTAGCAGCAACTGTAATGGCAGCTCACATGACCGTAACCATTATCATCATCATCATCATCATCACTGTTATTCTTCTCCTCTTCCTACTGCCTAGCTGTGCTCGAGTCTGTGTCACTGGAGAAAATTATCCCCGAGTCTCCTCAGACCAGTGAAGCAGGAGACATGTCTCCATGTCGCTCCCCTTCTACACCTCGGCACCTCCGCTACAGACAGCCTGGAGGTACGAGTGTGTGTGTGTGTGTGTGGTTAATGACTCAGAACTAAGCCACGATGTCCTAACCACAGGTCCTCGCAGTGGGCATGGCATTACTGTGTCTGTGTGAGTGTCTCTGTATGTGACGATACGTTTATTTGGATTGTTCGTTGATGCTGGCCCAGTTAGATAGGCTGCCTGCGTAACGTTCACCCTCTTCTCATGACAGCCTTGTTTCTTAGACATTACGCTCCAGGGTGGGAAGCTCAATTGTTGTTGTAATGTTGACCTGCTGTTTTCAAGATTTGAAAATTGTAAAGATTCAAAATGGTTATGATTTAACTGCTTGAATGACTTGAAACTGAAAAGCCCACGGTGAGTGAAAATCTGGACATTGGGCAGAATTAAAAAAACAAAAAAAAACAACATTTGATACTCATTAGCTTCTGCTACAACTTTAGTATAAAACCTCTTTCTTGCTAACACAACATCTGATAGAGTTACAGTATATGAAAGTAGAGGCATAAACACAACAACGTTATATAAGCAAGCCAATGGTCATTTCAGCTGCCTGTAATGTAACCTAGCTACCAGTAAGCTACCAGCTAACAGAAATGTAAGATAGCTAGCAATGAGGTTATCTAGGAATTGCTAACATTTGCTGATATATCAGTAGTCTTGAGTTAAGGAAGAATAGAAATAACAATGTGACAGATTTCATTTGCATGTTGTAAAAGTATTAATCATAACCCTTAAGTTTGGCATAGTGCTTACTATCTCAAACCATGTTATTTAAACCCTGAGTAGTACGTGTTTAGTAAGGTAAACTTAGATTTTTTTTTGGGACTAAACACGTACTTAAGCAAATATTTTCTTATTTAAAATACATATATAAAAACAAACGACAACTCAAGTTGAGACATTAAAATGGTTCAAGTGTGTTTGCTATGAATTTGTGGCCATTGTAATCATGTTATATTGCGTTGGGTTGAAATGAAAGTAAATAATAATTTCCTTGGGCTCTCTCCATTGATAGAAATCAAAACTGTATTGTTACCATGATGGTAATTATTTGTGTCTGCAGTCCAGTCCGGGGAGAACTCACGCTGTCCAGTCTCTCCTGCTTCAGCTTTCGCTATCGCCACCGCTGCAGCAGGCCATGGTTCACCACCAGGTAACACACACACACACACACACACACACACACACACACACACACACACACACACACACACACACACACACACTCTGCCAAAACAGCCACACATTATGTTTGAACATATTAAACTCTAACATAGAACATATGCGTGATTCAAAGTGGAGATCAAGGCACTCTTATAAATGTTTTCTTAGTGCTCAATGAAACATCGAAAATGTTCTGAAAAAAATACAGCATGTCTTCTTCTGGTTTCATTAGTGATTTACTTTTGTCAAAAGGAGGCTTTCACAGGTAAAGCATAAGGACAGCCGATCAAATATTTGTGGTTACAATTTAATCATTTTAATTTTCAAGTTCATCCTGTGTTGTATTAACTTAAATACATCATTAAGTTTTATTCTGCTGTATCGTAGGTCCCTGACCTTTGATCTGCTTTTCTCAAACAATAGATTGAATTGAATTGTGGTCGTCAGAGTTTTGCTATTTTATATATGTGTGTTAAAAAAAATCTAAATTCACACTGACTGCACACTGTGAAATGTTCTTTTTGGACTGACCTTTTGAAAAGAGGCAGATGGAAAGGTTCTTTTCCAGACTTTAGTTTGTGTACATTATAAAAAGGAGCACCCCTTCGTATATCAAAAGGATACAGGGTGATTTCTTTCTGAAAAGTTTGACTGTTTTACTTATGTTCATTTTGCTGGAATTACTTCTTTACTTTTACTTCTACACAAATTCTAAAAGACTTTTAATGCGGCGTTTTCTTTCTTTGTGATAGTGTTACTTGACTTTCAGCCACTAATGAAACGTGCTCTTGTGTGTGTTCACTGATATATATTTTTAACACATTCCACTGATCTCTTTTTCCTTTAATGTTTCCTTCAGTGTTTACTAACTCTGAAAGAACTTGTGATAAAGATTTCATCATCCGCCGCGCTGCAACTAACAGAGTTCTCAACGTGCTGAGGCACTGGGTCTCCAAACACTCGCAGGTCTGTTCGCACCCACCAGTGTGTGTGTACGCTTGTGTGTGTGTGTGTGTGTGTGTGTGTGTGTGTGTGTGTGTGTGTGTGTGTGTGTGTGTGTGTGTGTGTGTGTGTGTGTGTGTGTGTGTGTGTGTGTGTGTGTGTGTGTGTGTGTGTGTGTGTGTGTGTGTGTGTGTGTGTGTGTGTGTGTGTGTGGTCCAGGTTTTCTGCTGAGGTAATCAAGTCTGTGGTCTCATTAAAGCAGGTGTCTGAAGCATTTCTCTCCGCTCCACTGCTCTTACTTGAACATGTAAACAGCTAAACACACACACAGACACACACTGAATATTGTTGCTCTGTCAATTGGACCACAAGCTCAGCCCGCTTCTGCCCACCCACCTACCCACTCTTGTGCTAAACAGCCAGTGTTACTCTAATGAATTGACTATGACTGTAATTGCCTGACTCTCTGCTCATAGGTCTAACTGCATCGATCTGTTTCACATATTTTTCTCCAATAATACAAAATGCTGTGATGAAAGCTCAAGCTAAAGTTGCCTTATTAACACGGGCAAAAGCGCACACACATACATCTACACTCCCTCACATTTACTTTGTGAGAAGAGCTTGTTAAAATTGACCTTTGATCAAGAGTCGGATTAGGGTGAGAGAATAAAAGGAAAAGAGGAGGATAAAGGATAATGCTGCAGATCAAATTCACTGGGAAATATTACATAAAACAAATTTGGATTTTTAAATAATTTTGGTATCTTAATAGATCAGGCAGTGACTGCTTTCATGATGTGGGTGGAGGAAAAGCAACCTTTGCAATTTGGTCTACTTTCATGAACAGTTAGAAACCAAAACAAACATTTCAATATATCATCAGTAGTATACTGTCTTTTGTTGTACCAGTCTGCAAACCTTAGCCACTGCTAATACAACATACAATGTGCACAGTGGTATGTACTGTAGCTGCTATAAATTATGTAACAGGACCATTAATTATTATATGTCAAACTCAGTCAAATAGGATACCTACCTGTAAGATTTGTCCTTTTTATGTTTTATGTATTGTCTGTGTATATGCGACTCTCCCTGCAACCAAATTTACTTACAGGTACAAATAAAGTCACCTGAACCTGAACCTGTGTACAAAATGAATAGGCGCAAAAATTGATGTCATCTTAGATTATTTGTTATCTTTAATGTAAAGTTAGACTAGAATTTGGTTCAGTGTTTGATGCCAGGGAAACCATACTGGATATCATTAAGGGTCCTTTACTGGTCTTCTGTGTGTGTTCAGGACTTTGAGATGAATGGGGACCTGAAGATGTCGGTGATCTGTCTCCTGGAGGAGGTGCTGAGAGATCCGGACCTCCTGCCTCAGGAGAGGAAAGCCACTGCCAACATATTAAGGTGCACAGAGACATGCACACACACATACACACACGCACACACATGTTTATTACTGTATGATGCAATTTTATACATGTAACTTCCAATTTTCTTCATCAAATCGCCTTTTTTTTTGTTAATAACAAAAGCAACTACCTTCCTCTTTTTTAATGATGTTGTGTTCTATTATGTTTGATTCTATGTTTCATCAGTGCCCTTTCTCAGGACGAGCAGGATGATGCCCAGCTGAGGATAGAGGATATCTTACAGATGGTGAGAAAAGGGCAGCACATTAAATCCACTATTGGCTCCCTTAGTGAACATATTGTAATGATTTTATGATGAAATACGGGAACGGCAAAAATCAATGGTTCCTACCTTTGGCAGCATAATGTAACCCTCTTGTTAAAGCAGATTTATAATGGTTGTTAGTGTATTTGGAATATTTATGTGCTTCTTCGTGGAATGAGCTGGTCTATCTGTTTATTGTTCTGTGTTCTTCTTCTCTCTTATGAAATGTGTGCATGCATGACTGGTTGATCTGTATTTTACTGTTGCCATCATCTGCCCAGGGACCACAGATGGAAATTACTTAGTTAGCTAAGTCTGGTACAAAGTAGCTTTTCTCTTCTGAAACTAATGTTAAGTCGTATACTTTCCCTCATTCAAAACTAAAACAAAAAAAAACTATGAGGCCAGCATCGCTGAAGTACCTACACGTAAATAAACTCCTCCCACAAATATCTATTCAATTTCCTGCTGAACTTCAGTACCCAGAGAGGAAAATAGTTAGGAAACAGGAGTGTTATTGTTTAATTGTCTTGTCTCAGTAATCATTAAGAATCACAAACAGATGACTTTGTGAAATGTTGTGAACATACTGTTCTGTCCTCCAGGCAGAAAGGGCGAGATACTCTCTCTCCTGAATGTGATTGTCTACAGGGACTGTCATATGGCACATCTCTCCAGGCAATTTAAATCCTCATTGTCTTTATTTCTACACGTGTATAAGTTGTGTGTATTTGTTTTCAGGCTGACTGTCCGAAGGCCGAGTGTTTCGAGTCTCTCTCTGCGATGGAGCTGGCGGAGCAGATCACGCTGCTGGATCACATTGTCTTCAGGAGCATTCCTTATGAGTCAGTCCTTTCATACTGCTCTCACCATGAGCTCTGCATCAGGACAGACAAACTAGCCCAACGTTATCGATAGTGCTCATTATGAGACAAGTTAAAACAGTTTCAGAGAATACCACTTGTAGATGAGCAGAGAGGATACTGATGGTATTTCACTCTAAAATGAAAACGGTTTTAAAGCCGCATTTTACATTTCAAATTAAATGTACATTGATGTATAAGATGTTTATATTAGTATCTTCTTATATACTGCTAATGATGTGATTTCTCCTGCAGGTCAGTTGTAATAAAATTCTGTATAATCTCATTTTAAATTCTTGGCACCATGCATTTAGTATATATTTATTCTTTCGATGATTTTGAGTACTCACAGTTTCCTCTAAGGATGCTTCAAAGGTAGTTGGCATATATAGAGTTAATACACTCGACATTAACTGGTTTATAAGTAGAAAGGTTTTTGAATCTCTTTAATTATTGACAAATATTGATCTACCAGATTATGACTCATAATGAAGCTAAATAAAAAAAGTTAACACCTCATTGTATCCTCATCTAGTTTATTTTTTTGTCATTTGTGAAATTATAGAAATATTTGAAACAACAAAGGGATCATAGAACAATCCTTACTCAGTTTAGTCAGCTAATGTAATATATATTTTATGAGATTATTGTGTTTTAGAATATTACTGTATGTGTGAATCATACGTCTGTCCTCCCCATCTAAGAGAGTTCCTCGGCCAGGGCTGGATGAAGGTGGATAAGACAGAAAGGACGCCCTACATCATGAAAACCAGCCAACACTTCAATGATGTAAGCTCCTTGAGGCTCTTTAAACACCTTTTTTGTCCTTCCATAATCAACATCTTCTTTTATTTTCCTTCTGTAGATGAGTAACCTGGTGGCATCACAGATCATGACCCACACAGACGTAGGCTCGAGGGCCAGCTCCATAGAGAAGTGGGTCGCTGTGGCTGACATCTGCCGCTGTCTCAACAACTACAACGGAGTTCTGGAGATTACATCTGCGCTCAACCGCAGTGCCATCTACCGCCTGAAGAAGACCTGGGCTAAAGTCAGCAAACAGGTCTGATGATTAATAATGAGTAATAATAATTAAACCTCCATGTGTAAACAAACTTGTACATCTACTTGTAAAAAGCACAACTCAAGATTTCAGTAAGAAACAATGAATCTAAATAGTGAGGATTAGAGGGTTCTTGTTTGCAGATTTCTATCCTCCTGGTAGAATCAATGTCATTAGAGGATTCACAGATAGAAAATACAGACAAGCATTTACCTGTAACATTAAGGATCTGCTCTCAGCTTAATTCTGATGCAGACTAAATCGATTAAAGCCATTATCATCCAATCACCAGACAGGCTGTCTCTCTCCCGAGGCATGCTTCCAGTTCCGAACCGAAGCAAATTAGATTTTGCCGTTCTTTTACAATCATCTTTTCTTAAGCGTAAGTGGACCTTGAGCTAATGCAACTGCCTTGTTTGTAACATATGATTCATGATGGACATTTAAAATGATTTAAAATGTATATTTTTGATCTTGTCTAGACTAAAGCGCTGATGGACAAACTGCAGAAGACTGTGTCCTCTGAGGGGAGGTTTAAAAATCTGAGGGAAACCTTAAAAAAGTGAGACTTTTCAGTTTTTTGTAATTGCACATTTTACAAATGAGACATGAAGAAAGTGATTTATTGAATTTATTTAGTTGTTTTATTTGTATACACATGATTGCGTCACGTTTACCTCCTACAGCTGCAACCCTCCATGTGTGCCATACCTGGGAATGTATCTAACAGACCTGGCCTTTATCGAGGAGGGAACCCCTAATTTTACAGACGAGGGCCTCGTTAACTTCTCCAAAATGAGAATGGTAGGCATGAAGAAATGCAGAAAGCGTCTGCAAATCATCGGTTCATGTTCACTGTGCTTTTTTTTTTGTCAATATGTGGACAAAAGCGTCTGCTAAATGAATGGATTAATTAATGATTTTCTACTTTTTCTTTAGATATCACACATCATCAGAGAGATCCGACAATTTCAGCAGACTCCGTACAGAATAGAGCATCAAGCCAAGGTATTTGGTACACACACACACACACACACACACACACACACTGGACCTTCTTTCTTAGCGGAATGCTTAATATACAAAAGTATGAACTATATTCATATAGCAATAAAAAAACACGATGACAAAGTGCTTTATAACAGATTACCAGAGGGTCAACACATTAGACCGAAACAAAATATATGAAATGGAAAGACTAACGATTCACTTTGCAGCAAGTGTTTAGACAAAGTCTAGACACAAAGTTTAATGACACAGATGCTCCATGGAGGGGCTTGTTTCGGCTGTTATGAAACGATGACTCCCTTTGATATAAGATCCACTTTATGAAATGTGTCTGCTGAGAGTTCAGGTCATTGCCCTGCAGAAGAATCTTGTATAGCCACTCCTCTGTTTCTGCCACAAAATACCTATCTTTTAAATCCACATTTTAACCAACTGTACTTATATACATCTCATCTAAAAGGGGACATATTATCCCCTTTTTCCACCTTTTCAAACAGTCCCCTGTGGTCTAAATGAAGCATCTGTGCTGTGCTTTGGTCAAAATATAACATGAATCAAGCACCAGAGGAGGTTTGTGACCCTGTATAAACCAGCTTTCTCAGAGTGATCCGTTTTGCTGTGTGTGTCTCTTTAAATGCAATGAGCCCCCCCCTGAGTTTCCCCAGTAGACATCACTCCTTTGCTAGTGAGAATAAAAATGAGAGACCTGCGCAAAAGTTTTGCTCTAGGCTGGGGGTGGAGTCCATGGGTGGAGATACCAGGGGAGGGGAGGATATTTTTTTTTTTACCAGAATCCCACTGTGACATCACACAGTGTTTTAAGACTTATGCAGAACCCAAACAATGGACTGGACGGGTTTATTTCACGTTTTGTGGGTCGGTAGACACTCAGGTTAACCACATATATGTTCAAAAACACTGTAAAAGTGGATTTTTCATAATATGTCCCCTTTAAAGGAGGTGTTTGTACATCCTCATCCTCACAACTATCTCATGAAGTAGGTGCGTAGGACATAAACGATCTTATTGAAATTTATAATATAAAATAACATTGTTTTGGTTGTCAAGTGTGACAATGAGACAGCTCATCCTTAATTTGAAGATAAGAAAGTTAGTCTGAACTTACAGTTTATTGTACCTCTTTGATGTTTTCCATCCAGGTGACCCAGTACCTCCTGGATAAGACTCTGATCATGGATGAAGACACCCTCTATGATCTCTCTCTGAAGATCGAGCCCAGGCTTCCAGCCTGAGTTACAGCTGTTAGTGGCCAGTGGGAGCCTGCTGAACCTAGACCCCTGAGGGCAAAATGCCCACGTAATCACAAATGGGGCAGTTTACAGAGCGACATTGAAATGGAAATCAGGGGGATTAAAGTGAGAGTTTATTGTTGAATGAAATGGAGAGTCTAACAATGGACCTAATGAGGGAGCATGAGACAGGCTAAGGTTTTTTGAGGTGGCTGACTGATTGTTTTCAAGAAGAACAAGGAGGAAAAGGTTTTGATTGCATTTTGTGAGGGTTTTCAGGAAATGGTGTGTCGCTGTGTATTCACCATTCCTCAATGGAGAAGTATGGTGCACACGTCCACAGACAGCCTGATAGTGCAGGAAAGGCTGAATGGATGAAGTACAGTGGGTATAACAGAGATGTAGCATATACAGATAGTGTGACAGAGAGATGTTTGAACTGGTGTCTCTGTGCTGTTGTCTGTGATCTGTTGTCTGTGTTAGTCCGTGCCATGTCCCGGAGCGAGAGCCCCAAAAAAAGCTTTCTGTCATGATGGTAATACTTGCATGATTTCAGCTTTGGATGTAACTGTTGAAATGGCCTTCAACCTGACCCCTCTGACCCCCTCAGCTTAGCACGCTTCACTCTAACCAGGGTGTCTCTCTAAGCCACTATGCATCCTCAGTGGGCTGGGAACAACAAAAAGACTGAGCCTTTAAAGAAAATGTAGAAAAAACACAAATTTGGGGCAAAACGAATAAAAAGTTTGATATAACACAATAAAGCGGCTTATTTTTCATCGGTGAAACAATAAATTCAGTATTTTTTTGACTAAAAACTTCCCATGAGATAGAAAAGCAGATTTTTGAAATGTCCGCATGAATGAAACAAGTCTTTAAATTTGATCAGTGCCTTCCACTAGTGTAGGTCAATTTCCCCCCAAATAGTAATTCACATGGACTGAGTTTTATAGTTTTATCCTTCTTACAAATCTTAGGATTCCCTTTAAAAGTTGGACACTAGTGTCACTCATTCACCTTCTTTTTTTTCCAGAAAAAAGGTCATGTAGACTAAATAGTAGCATGTTAGTGTGAACACAGTAAAGTCTGTGCAGCATTGTATTGTCAGCAAATATCTCCCTCTAGTGTTGAATCATTGTTATAACCTCCACTGACCCAAAGCTTTGGCAGCGTTTGTGTGCACTTTGAATTCTTTTGGCTTTTTCCAGGTTTGTCACATTCTGATGTGTGTAGTCGGGTCCCGGTGTGTAACTCTGGATGTAGGCTGGGACAGTTTTTTGCACCCTTCTGAGATGTAGCTTTGCTTGAGTGACAGTATGATCGTTATGCTATTTATTTCATCAGATTCTGTATTCATGTTATTTTTGTACATAGTGACTCCACACATATCACATGATTGATGAGGAAATACTTTGAATTGTTATGCTGTGAGTATTGATTTGATTGTTTTGTCTCTTTCTAATTTTGCATCCCAGGCTCTTGTTATTGCAAGAAATCTGTTTAACTTTATTCTTAAAAAAAAAAAGAGTCTGTTGAAGGTTTAAAATGTAGCATTTGAATTATTTGAGTTTGTTTTCTGTACTGCTGATATGAAGAACCTAATTGTCTTGCATGCACACAACAGCTGCATGTTGTGCATGTCTGACTGGACGCTCCCTGTACGTTCTCCTTCTGCTACTCTATTTGAATATTGTCTCTCTGCTTTAAGGCAAACAAACAATATTTTGTCTGTTAGATCCGGCACATGTGTCTCCTAGTGTACGTCATACGATCAAGCATAATCTTTAGGCTATGTCATCTGTAAAACAGCCTGTTGTTATGCAGTAGCAGTGTTGGAATTGATGCAGGCCTCAATGAAAACAGGAAACAAAAACCTTGTTCTGTATTGATCAGAGGAAAGGTTTTCAGGCTTCGCTTTTGGAAAAACCTGTCCTTTGCACTGCGTCTGTAATTCTGATTGTCTCATACATATACAGGTTTGGGAATACAAGATGCTATGTGTGCTCTGTAATATTATTTTTGTGTATTTCTTTGCAATTTTCACTTGTAGGTGCAGGGGAAATAAATTCAACATGCCTTATATGTCTGTGTCTTCTTTGACCTGTCTGTGCATTCATTTCAATGATATTAGATTGTTTCTCCTTCTTCTTCCTCTGGCAGCTGCTGCCCTGGATTTAAACCCCAATTTTAATTTTCAACATACTATAGTGAATCCAACAATCTCTGGTGATTCCACAAATTTCATCTACAGTATATACAGCTAAGGCTGCAAAAGTCTGAGGGACAAAAGAAGAACTGTCTTTGTATGTTTGTCTTAGTAAGCAAAAAGAAAACACCAACATCAGGCTGCATACACCAAAAAAGTGTCTAGTTTCTAATAGAAAAGTACTTTTGTAATAGTGCACTTTTTTAATTGTAACTATGGAAATACTCTTGAACATCTAGGGTTTATCTTGTAGAGATGTCTCAGTGTAGACCTTTAGTACAATTCACCAAAATCAGGACCGAAATATTTTGTTTGCGCTAGAGCTCTGGAAGAACAACCAGCTCTACAACCAGATGTTATTCCAGTGTACATACAAAATATTAGGAGAACCAGGATGTTCAAATTCGGTGCAGAGTGTATGTAAACTTCACGGGCCAAACACAAATCAAACAGAGTGTATTAACTGACAACAATTATTCTTGTTGGTCTAAAGTTTGGCAATCTCTGTCTTTGACATCCTCAATGATTCTCATGTTGTCTGACCTGCCTCTCATTGTGCAAGCACTGCCACCCTGTGGTGACAAATGGCAACACCCTTCTTTTGCACTTACATTGGCATGGCCTGTACACAACAATTTGATCTTGTATGCACATTACCTTAGTAAAATATCTTAACTATTTTACCATCAAATTCAATGACAATGTGCAGAAAGTGTAAAGAACTCAACACCGTTTGTAGATTTAGTCATGTAATAGTAAGGATGTAGGGTAAGTACGGAGATTAAACTGTTGGATCTTTTGTCAGTATCTACATTTAGAATAAACCTCATATTTGTATTTGTTTTTTGCAGAAAGTTATGTGAGTAAGGACAAGGATGAGAGACAGAGCAGCTGAAGTCAGAGGGAGTGAAAAAGAAAAATGGTCTGGTGTGAATCCCACACAAGCTGAACAAGTGTGCTGCAAAGTGGTAGAGCTGTTATTTCCTAATGTTGCTGAGGAGATATGCCAAGTTGTGAGTCTGATGACAGTTTGTAGTGCTAATCGAGTGACTATGTTGTCTCTCTGCAGGAGACTTTTAGCAGATCAGACAACATTTCTGTTTCTGAGGGCCAGATGGACGACAGTTTGCTCTAGTTTCAAAACACTGTGAGTGTGACATCGTAGCTGCATCAATTAAGAGACATCAACTCATGGACTATTTTTTTTCTCATGTGTATTATTTGGTTAGCGCTGTTTCTTCACAGCGAGAAGGTTCCTTGTTTTCGAATCAAGTTGGACAAGAGCCTTTCTGTGTGGAGTTTGCATGTTCTCCCTGTGCATGTGTTGGTTCTCTCCGGCTTCCTCCTGCAGTCTAAATGAATGCTCCTCATATTAATTGGTGACTATAAATTGCCCTTAGGTGTGAATTTGATGGTCTGTCTCTATATGTTTTCCCCTGTGAATGACTGGAGATCAGTCCAGGGTGTACCCTGCCTCTTGCCCGATGACAGCTGGGATTTGCTCCAGCACCTGCGACCCTGAACGAGAAAAAGCGGTTTAGATAGAGGATGTATGGATGGATGTATTATTTTTGAATAAAAGGAACAAGGTTATTTTAAATGCTCCGTTATTATAAAGCATTTAATGAAAAAATAAGTCCCTTAAACTCTTTGCACTAGCATATACCTGCTGTTCTTTATGTAGCATTGTGCCTTCTTTGAGAAGTTACGATGTGTCATTGCAGTATTGATGTCACACAGAGTGAAAAAAAACTACAATGACACCAAAACTAAGAAAGAATTTTGAAAAAACTGGATAAATCCATTGGTGACACTGCTGTAGACAGATAAGAGAGCCTTACCCATATTTTAATTAGTCTTAGTAGATGTATTTTTCATGTGTAGCATGGATTACTCTATATTTGTGTTTCCACTGATACGGTCAGTTAAACAGAGTTATGCATGTCAGATGGGTTCCTAAGCAACAACATTGAAAGATTGCCATGTACTCACGACTTAAGCCTTGAGTTTTGTTGATGCTCGCTTCACTTAAAGCTCCTGTGAGAAGTTTTCAGCTGATAATGAAACTAAAATGAATAGTGATATCTATATAAGCCAACAAGATCATCAGCAAGATTTACTTTATCTATATAACCTTCTTTTTAATGTCTGAAGCTGATGCAGTGGGGTCGATGTCAGAGAAAGTCATTACCATCATGAACAGGACAAATCAGAGGTTTTCCACAGGGGACACCAAAGTTGACACAAACTTAAAGTTCCTCACAGCAGCTTTAAAAGTTTACGATCTCACATAAATCTTTTTTGTTTGAGTAAAATAATAAAAAACAGATGCATAAACAATTTTAGTTTTTTTGGATGTCCTCAGCTTCTGCTATGATTGAGTAAATACTAGAAGAACAAAAACTCACTCTGTTTAACCTTTTAGGCTTTTAGGACCAAAGGTCTGCTTGGATATATGTAACTGGGGTAAGTAGCACTGTGTTACAAAAAAAAAAGTTGAGATTATTACAGTTAAGAAAGAGCACATGAAAAACTCCAGGCTGTGTTTATCTTATAGTGCTAAAACAAGAGCTTTCAAGTTTTACGAGGGCCTCTTGTTTTCCGGATCCCAAACAGAACATTAAGGTTTGACCCTTTGGCTAGAAGTGTCACCAGGCAGGTGGAGCGGATCACCAGCTCAGTCTTAAAAGATGAGTCCAATCCTTTGCATTGTGAGTTTCAGCTCCTACCTTCTGCACGAAGACTTTCAGTTCCAAAGGTCAGAACAAAGCGCTTCAGGAACAGCTTTGTCCCAGCAGCCATTATAGAGAGGAACAAGTCATAGTTTCCTCTTTGCTGCTTGATCTTGTTGTTGGTAATTTCACAAAGGCCTTGCATGGAGGGACAGGGATAGCAAGCTGGGAAGCCGTCGTCATGCTTCTTAATGGTTCTTTATTCATTTTATTATTAGTGGAATGCTGTAAACAACATTGTTATTCAAATCTTTATTATTATTCCTCTACTTCCGTGCGTTTTTTGTCCCTCTACTCCTCTTCAACCGTTTGTGCTAATTCCACCATTCAACTATCATACTATCCGGCTTCTTCGGGACATGATGACTATGACTTTTCACTTTTTAAGTTATTTCACTTTTTCCACAAAATGTTGCCCCATTGAAATGAATGGGAAAATTTTCCACTTTTCCACTTTTTTCTCAGCCTTATAACTTTGGCTGTGTTCCACCTAGAGACTCCATTTTTGCTTTAAAACGTTTACACACTTCTCCACTATTCATACTACTTTCACTTTTCTTGCTGCCTTTTATACTTTTCAAACTGTACCTCCAAATGTTTCGTGATGTTTTGAACTTTTTTCACATTTTAGAGTGCGTGACATCATCGCTAGAGTGGGACAGAGTTCTGAGATTGTTTCAAAATCTCCCGAACAAATTGCTCTACTGACCACAATCTTCACCCCACACACATAAATTTACCCTCAAAATGTATGAAAATTTGTCCTCTCTCATACATTGAGTTTTTAGGGACAATTGGAGAAAATCTTTTTACACTGTGAGCTTCAAAGCGGCAGGTGGTCCAAATAAATCTCCATCTGGGGTAATGTTAAACTTCAGCCTGACTTCACTGCCCAAACCTCTTGGGACTAACTTTTTAAATCGCTGTGGTTTCCACATTTCTTGGATCCCAGACATGAAAATCACATCAACGTGTTCGGCCATTTGTCCTCTTGCTCACAAAATCATCCCTTAGCCACAAACTCTCAATTTAAGCCCTTGAAATGAACACTCAATAGGGAGACGTTTTCCCCTTTTCCTTATTGTCTGACTGCATTGAAGCAGTCTTTATGCAGTAACTTCTACTTCAGGGATCGACAGGTAGATCGCGATCGACAGGTAGATCGCTGACTGATTCTCAGTCGATCGCGAGATGTTTAGTCAATATAAAATACAATTGTAAAATAGAAAGTGATTTCAATTTCATCTCATTGCAGTTTTTCCCACACACGATACCTGTGTGGGGAGCCCAAGTATACCTCCGACCTGTTTGTATTTAATTTTTCATTTATTCATGAAATTGCTGCGTGCATGAGAGAGCGAGCGCGCAAGAGAGAGTGCAGGCATGCGCATGGACGTGCAGGTAAAACCGGGGGGGGGTAAATGTTTTACCAAAAAGTCATATATAGAAACTATGCTACGATTATTAAGCGCATTTGATGAAGCTGCAGCTACTTTTCTCTGCTCCTCTCTGCTGTCATGACTGTGAGCATCGCGGGGGACGAGACACACCAACAAACAGCGCAAACGCACACACGCACACACACGCACACACACACACGCACACGCACACACACACACACACGCACACACTTACACTGGAGCGATTAAAGTTGTTTGTTGTAAACTAAATTAAGGGGAAAACATATGTGATATAAATACAAACTTAATATTAAAATGTAGCCTACCTTAAAATAAGAGTTTTAAAAAAAAGTATGTTTTTTTACAGAACTCTCATTTATTATTTTCTGTTTGTTGTGTGAGTATTAAATGCGTTTGTAGGCTGTTGGTAAAGGCTATGGCTCACTATGTGGACTGGTAGATCTCGGCAGACTGGTAACTTTAAAAGTTGATCTTGGTTCAAAAAAGTTTGGGCACCCCTGTTCTACTTGTTCTACTACTTTTTTTTCATCTACTACTATTCCTTCAGCTGTTTCTGCTGATTCTTCTTTATTCAGCAGTGTTTTGCGAAACATTTCAGCGGTCAGCATTCCCACGCATTTTCCGCAGGTAAATGCAAATTGTCTAGTTTATTTTAAAGTTCTCAGCTCTGTAACTTTTACAGATCAACTTGTTTTATTAATTGTACTATTGGAATCTGCACAC